TACCCATGAATTGCCCGCTTTTGGCATAACCACCACTTGACCCCGGAGTAGATTGACTTGCGTTAAGTGCAGGGTCAGGGTGTATCTACTGTTCCCCACTGCAGTGACACCCCCCTCCTCCCCTTCACATGCACATGGGGCTGTCGTATGTCTCCCTATGTGGCTCTGAGCTCTGCCAAAAACAGTCAGGGAGAGGGAAAAATGCAATTACTGCCAGATTATCATACTGCTTCCGTTTGACTTTTCCCAGCGAATTCATGAATATATATGAATCCATCTCGCATCTCAATCTCCAGTCCTTGTGTGCCTTGGTTTTCCACGTGTTTGTTGGGTCTCTTTTTTTTTTTTTTTTTTTTTTTTGTTGTTTTTTTTTGTTTCTATATGGAAATGAAAATGTGAGAGGCTGTGAAATTTAAAATATGACTATGATTATTTAGAATCATTTTTTTATTTCTATGAAATCAGTTTTGTAAAGTTTGTTGCTGTGGTAAACAACAAAAAACTACCCTGTTTTAGGTTGATGACAGAGCAGGTTAATTCAGCTGTGAAAGATTGTCTGTGAAGGACGGTTAAGAAGTTCAAACTAAAAGGAATTTTTTTTTTTCAACAAGCATTGATTGAATATCAAATGCTAAGTGAGTATCTAGAAATATTAATTATTTTCTATACAGTAAGACAAGATAATGGGCAACAAAAACCCTAATGTATGTAACTAAAGGAGACATTTGTGCAAAATCTATTTTTAGGGCTTTTAATCATTTTTAATTTGTATTTCCTTTTCATTACCCACTCTTGTAGTTGTATTGTAGAAGCTGTATTAAGAGTGATTCATGCGTGTTTTGAGTAATCCTGCAATCAAGGTGTCATTGCTCGATCAACCCCAGTTTGTCAATGCCACAGGTATACACCCACTGCTGTCTTTGTTCTCTTCATAATCAGTGATATATGTAGGATTCAGCAGTGTCATGTAGCCATTTTGGTAAAAATTTTAAAAATCCAATGCTCGATAAATAGCATGATCTGTGGCTATCCATATGACTTTTATGAAGTTGTTTTAGATCAGTATTTCATTTTAAAAATACAACACATTGATCTATGGGTGTCATAGATTAATATGATGTGGACCAATAGTCTGAAAACCTTTCACACTAACTACCATATAGTTTATTAGTTCAGGTGTGAGTGGTAAAATATTTTGCTAATAGTTAGATTTTTGAGAACCATGCACCAAATGTAAAGCAGTAGGACTAAACCATTTCCAAAGTAGTTCTTAATAATGACAAAAGAGAAAAAAAACATTAATAGTGAATGTGAAAAAAGGCCTAAAGAGTGTACCATTAGAGTATTATCAAGACGTGTACCCCTGTTTGAGAAACAGTAATATGGACAAAGTAATGAATCCAATACTGTTTTGCTGAGAGAGTGTGATCATCATTTAGCAGGCATCATTTTTCAAATAGCTAACAGTACAAAGAGTAAACATTATTCATGTTTCTTAATGGTTCTATATCAGTGTTTCCCAAACTTTTTTTAGGGACTCCTATTTTAAAAGTCACAAACCTTCACGACGTAAGTCAACAGACATTATTCATAAATCACAAAATTAAGGTGGATTTGACCATTATTGAACATTAATGAAGATATTTTATTGTTGGCTGAGTGATCATGTCTCTCTAAACAGTATTACTCAAGTTTTAAACAATGAAATTTAGTAATTGAACCAGCAATAAAAGGTATAAAATAGTCAATAAAATAAGTACAAAAAGATCAGAAGTTATACAAAACATGTCTTAACATTTCAACAATTCTAATGAGATAAGTGAGCCTGTTTGTGTTTTTGTTGCGTGTTCCAGTCCGGGGTGCAGGAGGAGAGTGCAGCTCGCATATCAGGCGCATAGGCAGAACTGTAAATTGCAGACGTACCTGCAGATCGTGACAAGGCGACCCAAAAATAATCTCTTGCGACCCACCTGAGGGTTGTGACTCAGTCTTTGGGAAACAATGTCCTATATTACACAAAATGGATTCTTATGAGCTTTAGACCATGTTATAATTATAATATATAAGATATAACTGTTGTTACCGCATCAAAAATGTACCCAGAGTTGTGTTTTGATTCATTTACACATGTTTGAGTAATATTGGTTTATTAGTCTGTCTGCAACTCCAAATCTCAAAATGCTCTGTTCCACTCTGTGATCTTATGTAGTGGTAGTTTGCATATTAGCAGCTACTTTATATCTTTACTTCAGTATAGATTAACTGGCAATTTCAGGGTGGTAATTATCCAAATTATTCTAGTGAAGGTGTATGGAGTTTAAAACACAGCGGAGCACATACTGTATTACCACGTGACATCACAAGGTGGAAAACATTGTTTTCAGTTAGAGAGAACTCCAAAATATGCATATGTTTGTGTGTTAAACATGTATTAATCAAACACAACTCCAGGTATATTTGTAATGAGGAAACAACATTATAATGTAGATCAAAAAATCGTGCAATATAGGCTCTTTAAACAATCTTGACCAATACAAAATTCAAACATGTGATAGAAAGAGCAGCTTGTCCTTCTCTCATAGACATTTCTCTATACCAGTTTTATACTAACAGTCTTGTATAGTCCATTTAGAGAAAGGGTTAGATCAGTGTTTACAGAATTGTATTTTGTTCAACACAAGGTCTTTAATCGCCACACAGAAGCCCTTAAGGGAGACCTGTGTGTTTCTAGATGTATCACTAACCTTTGGACTTCAACACTGCTCTTCTTAATAGCTCAATCTGACGAATCATTTAAAAGCTCGCTGAAACAGACACATGGGTAATGGATTGCATGGCAAATCAATGCGTGGATCAATGGAAGACATGCATCAATAAATGGATAGAGCGCTAGCCGCTGAAATAGACACCAGAGTTAATGTAACATCATTGTGTGTGAGTAGATGGTGGAGAGGGCTAATACAGGTCAGACCCTGATAACATGTCCTTCTGAATAATGTGGCTTGCTAACTGACTGTGATAAGATCAACTTAAGGTAGATTACACATTTACATTATTTATATTACATAAGTACAAGGCACCAGCATGCAGTTAGTATTTAACCACAAGTGTAGGAAATACATCATCTATTATCAGTAAGTACAGATAAGGTTTTAAGTAACAATAAAACACAGATGGGTGCAATTATCATAGTAAACTCATTCATTTTTATGTTTTACAGATGGCTGTGTAGAAATTAAGTGAAACACTATACAGTATAACTTTTGAGCACAATATAGTCTGATCTGTGTGTTCATGAGTGTAATCTTACTCTAATAAAATATGTTATGAATATAACATAAAGCATTACTGAAAGTACATTTTGCATGTTTATCTAGTGAGGTACAGTTTAGCGGTTGATGTTATTGTGCACAGTAACTTTACTCTGTGACGTGTACCAGGACAGTGCGGTTGGACTTGTTTGTTTCTGGTGGTTGACTCAGGACCTGAGCACCGGACACTCCAGACTTGTGGTGGAGATGTTCAGCAGTCCCACACACTGATAAGTGTGTCTGCTATCAGGAGTGACTGTGTCAGCTGCTGTAAACAAAATAAATATAATACCTCCAAGACCTCAGGCTGCACTCCTTGGACTGAGCAAGTGGCAAGACACTACAGCTGTTTCTCATGGCCCACTGCCATAAATCTCCACTGAATGTCTTGCGTTAAGGTTGGGTGTTACGGGGCAGCTGTACTCGTCTAAATATAGAGCCAAGGCTACAGCCCGTACAGCGTAAACCCAAGTTCTGACATGTATCTTAGCATTAAACCCAAGTCCACCATATCTCCCACCTGCGTTAGAGCTGGCATCAGCAGTACAGCTCTTGTGCTGGAACTGTCTGAATGTTGTGCAAAGTGAACATCCGCACATGTCACTGTGTGACTCAGGCCCTGACCACACGCTGCATTTTCCAACGGGCCCAGCGTTCATTATCAGTGTGTGGTGGCCCTAGGCAGAACGCTCTATGCTCGCTGCTGTGACATCCATTGTGCTCCGTGATGGAGACAAACAGGGCCAAGGTGGCACAGCAAACACGCATCATTGTGACAGCACTCATCCAGAACAGTCAGTGCTCCATAAGCACATTTTATTATCACTGTTGTCTTTTAGCCAGGGTCATCCTCTCCAAATTAAAGACACACCACATAAGTGCCAAGACTGCATTTATAAACATGTACAAAGTAACTCATCGGCAAATTTGATTATTTAAATTTATTACTATTTTATCAACAACAAGCTCTCTTTTATGGTAAAACATAAGTACATAATGTAATATAATATAGGAGTTTGTTTGTTGCCGACGTTTACTGCCAGTGTTCCGCACTGTGGCCTGTTTTAGAGTTGTCTCATGTGTCATTTTGCTGCACAGACTTCTCACCTACTATATATTTTTATGACACTGTACATACATTATTATGTTACAATTCACAAGTCCATGGGTAGAACCACTGTAACTAAAAGCAAAAATAATTAACGCACATTTTCTAATTATAACTTATATTTCTATTGCATTTTTCAAGACCTCCAAGGTGCTTTACACCATCCTTAAAACGTTTTGTTTTTTGTTTACAAAGTTTTGTACCAGATATATTTGAGGAAAATTCATATTGATTTTTCAAATTTTACTACATCAGGATTGGCTGATAAACCTCTTTGAGCAAATAGTCCAAGTTCTTAATGAAATGAAAACTCTGAACTATTTGATCACAATTTAAGCATAAGAGCCTGCTTAAACTATACTTTCTGTTACATATATCTTTGCTCTAGATGCAATCATTTGCAATGATTGATCACAAAAGATTTTCTATATTTGTCTTCAGGAGATAATCAGCTTCCTGATCATCAAAATCCATATGCTGGTATAATTACAAGACACAATGAGCCATAATATTAAAAAGTCTTTTCTTGATTACTGCTGTGCTCACATGCCTATTTTACTCGTGTCTTTCTATAATTGCAGATTCTCTACACGCCTGTGATGAACAATCCCGAATGCGTGTTTTGCCTTTGCACCCAGCGGTCTTCAAAATGTGCTGCTGTGGAGAAGAGAGAGAGGAGACCGAGCCTGGGCCCGCTGTGCTGAAGCGCATCATAAATCCGGTTAGTGCTCATGCAGGGGCTGTGGTTCCAGGCAGGGGAACTCACACCTGTTTGGGCTGGAGTAGGCTAAATGTAATTGCTAAACACAGCAGCGTTTAGAGTTGCCAAATTGCACCTCTGGGAGTCACTATAGCTCACAATTTGACTAATGAAGGCCAAGTAATCAAGCCTCAAACCTATCAGGCATGTTGGCTGTAATTAAAAGGTTTATGTTCTGCACCGGGAAAGAGCGCTTGGACAGTCTATCTCTGTCAGGGGCCAAAACTGCAGCTATTTAGTTTAAGAGCCAAAGCCTGAGAAGCAAGAATTCCTCACAAAGTAAAGCCTTGATGGTTCATTTGGAGGTACAATGTCCAGTCATAGGGCACATAAACACATGCTGTGATTGAAATGTTTCCAATAATCAATCAGATGACGAGTGTTGTTTGTCTGCACAGTCCTTATCTATTGTGTCCCCAGGGACCCGGTGGGAGTGTCTACGGTGCTAACACATCACACACTTTTAATTAAGCCAAAATGTGCAAAATACACAGTCAATTTATGCAGTATAAATATTCAATTTAGATGGAATTTGCATTGGGTATAAAGCAGGAGCACTCACCTAGAAATCCTGTTAGTACCTGCTGTGCGCTGGCTGGCATCTCCCAAATAAGCAGCGTTTGGCATACACTTGTGTAATTTAAAGGTTAACTCACATCTGGAGAGCCCTGATTTGCGATTAGGCCCAAGAGCGTGCTGACTGACTGGATTAGGCTTTTAATGCAATATTTGGTAGGATATAACGTTACACCTTCTGTAAGACATGCTGACATCCACAAGGATTTTTTACCCTGCATGCAGCAGTACAAGTTCTGCCGCTACAATTCTCTTGGGAATACTAAGTGACCTGAGGCAGACAGTGGGACATTTTTAAAAGTTATTTAGTCATTAGTAGATTTATAGGTTTAACATAATTCATTATACATTTTATCAATTGTATGCATAGACTGTGTTTGTCTATGTGTGCATATATAATCTATAATCAAAATCGAACAATTACAACTTAAATTAAAGTAAACATTATTCTAATTTTGTAATGATTTTTTGATTATTAATTGACCTAAAGCAGATAATCTTTTCACTGTGTATAACTCTGAATGACGGAGTACACTACCATCTTGTGGAAGCACAATTTTCAGAATATCGAATTCAGAATATTGTAAAACAAATTATTAGCGGTGCCATAGCAATAATGTTTTATCTTCAAACAACTACGGTTTATTAAAATTTAATGTAGGAAGTAGAATTAGTGTACAGTTCGTGAAACAACCCCATACATGTGATTTTTTATTATACTTACTGTAATATGGCATGAATTTGAGTGATTTAACTTCTGAGGTCAATAAATTTTTTTTTTTTAATCTCGTACAGAATGTTTTTAGGAGACTTCATATGTGCAAGTTTGTCTAGGCTACTCATAAATACCTTAAATTTTGCTGTTGAAATTATATTATGTACCAAAAAGATAGCATTATATATTTTATATATTTCCGAATATCCCATTGACTAAGCAATTGGTTACAGCTTATGTTAGAGCTCCCTCTGGTGGTTTAAATCTGCTACTTAACACAGCACTAATATGCATATCTGTACATTTCAGCCAACTGTGTCAGGTTAATTTACACTCTGGCAATGATAATGTTTACTGTCTCATTTGCCATATGAAGTGGAATTAGGCACAATGTGTTTAGCAGACGAGGCAGTTAAATAGCTGCTCACTGTTGTGTTGTGGATCCCCCGCCGCTCCCCTGATTACAGACAGTGGTTGCTTCACGGCAGCCAATTAAAATCAAATACTATTCTCTCCCATATTACCACCACTGTATTTACTGTGATCACATCCCTTCAGCTGCATCATTTTACATAATCAATGCACAAGCTTTTCATCTGTCTGCCTGGTTGGAAATACAGCCCCTAAAAAGCCTGCTGTTCTTACCTTTCTGCCTGGTAACAGTCTGGGGTGCATGATAATAATGTGCCACTGTCAAAGGAATTTTTTTTACACCTCTCATTGTTAATTACCACTTAAGTTTCCGTTCCTCTCAGTTGTGTCTCACCAGAGCTACTGATGCTATTCATGATTAATGGTTTACTTTCTTTCATAAGTATGACCAAATTATTAACCACACACTTGTATAATTAAAATACAAAACAATTATTAATCAGAAAAGGAATTGTTCTTGTTTCTGACCCTCGATACAAAGAGCTCACAATTGATTGGACTGAGTAAATTGATTTAAAAAGAAAATAATCATTACAGCCTCAGCTAGAACCCCTGTGTATAAAAAAAAAAAAAATCTGATTCCACTTATATTTATTAGTTATTTATTTTTGCTTATTACATTATGCAAAATATATTTTTTAATTCACTGTAGCTATGCCATCAATATTTTACTCGAGTACAAATATATCCTACTAAAGTCTGTTTTTAAAAAATTTATAGAGAAATTGTAGTTTAAAAACACTACTTACTTTTTATTATTTTAAGGGAACTCTGTGAGACAACTATTCACATCTTGTACTCCTTCAGTATGGTCAGTCCAATTAACTACTGTTAGCTACACAAGATACAATTACAAAAACAATGTATCATCTTTAAATCTTTATAACTGTCTGGGTGGGATAATTTGAAGATTGGCCCAGACTTCATTCACTCTGGAACTTATATTCACATAGCTGGCAAAACAATAATTCACCCTCTAACTCATACCCAAAGCAAAGCAAAGCAAAGTGTTATCACAGTAATGTCCAGTTACCATTCGTCTGGTTTAGTGTCTGAACTCAAATCTATCAATAATTGTAAATGAGCTATCTAACTATCTCAGGCAAATGTTAGATAACAGAGGGGCAGAATGCAGGATCTAATATTGATATTTTAATGTAATTTAAACTCCATAGCATCAAGTATTTTCCATTGTTACAGTTTAACAAGAAAGACTGAAGGAAAAGTAAAGCACTCGCTGGCTTTTTTCACAGTTTACTTTAGCAGGTTTTGGTGCTTTAAATCTAAATTAGAATACCCAAAATAACTACACAGCCCCTTAGAAACTGGATTGCAATGATTCACATGCAGCTAGTAAAAATTGATATTTATTCAAATATTAGGTGTAATGAGAGGAAATGTATTCTGGCCCACTCTGTGTTTTTGGATCATAGCTGCATACTTATGTGATTTCTGCAGACACCTTATGTGCTCTGTTATGGTTGTGTACGCCAAGAGAAGTTACACATCGTTTTGGTAAAGTTAAACATTAGTCCCGTAAGAGTCAGAGGTGTAAGTTATAACACGCTGCCTGCTGTACTGAAGCAGACGCCTGAAGTGTTGTGATCTCTCTCAGCAGGACCTTTGTGCCTAAGTGCAAGACACAAGTGCCAGACATACAGGCCGATGTGGAGAGGTGTAAATTCATTCTCATTAGTGTCACAAGAGGGAGGCTGCTGTTGAACTGCGTGTATGCTGACCTGACAACTTTACTTTGAATCGAATGCATTTCTAAGTAGACCAAACCAGATTGCCTCAAAGTAAATTGTTGGTGATAAACTCCACCGTGCAATTGTAATATGAGGCAAACAAAATAAGTGCTTCTTAAGAATTGTTTGTTGGCCATCTGGAAATATTTTTAAAGGAATTATGTTGACAAGACCTGATGTGTTAAATATAATTTTAAAAAGGCACAGTTGTAAAAGCCCATCTGTCTGTGTAAATAGGCATTTCATTTAGCATTCACACTAATCTTTGCTTGCGATATAGAACAGCACTCCTTTTCCAAATTCACCCTGGACAGCCACTGTGATTGGCCGCCCAATCAGCCGAGGAGCCAGTATCACAGATGCTGTCTCTCTAACTAATTGCATGAAGGCAGCGCGGTGAGGAAGGCGCAGGTGCTCGTTCTTGTTGTGAAGTGACTTTGGCGCGTTTTGCCTCCTTGTGTTTTGTGGAAGTTCTGACCAAATATTTTCAGAGGCATTCTTAGCTGGAATTTGATTGCATGTTAAAGTACAATTGTGGTGCAGGCGAACACAAAGGGTGTGTTAACAGTGGCATTGAAAAGAAAAATCACACTCATCAAAAGGAAACACTACTTTTATTAGCAAGGCACAGTGAGAGCCAGCTGCTCTTTGGAAGGATGCTCAGAGGCAGTTACAGCAGAAAATGAAGTTTAAATGAAAACCTGCTATTTTATTAACAGTTCTTCAATTTATACAGTAGTACATTGCATAACCCCCCGCAAAATCCCCAAATACATTCAAAATCTATTGCATAAATCATTGTGCAAAATCTTAGTGTTAATTACAATATTGTTAGCCCAAATGTCAGTTCCTTATACAAATAAAACAGAATACAAAAGGCACTGTTGAAAATAATCAAGACCTGAATGAAATGTCCTTTAGCGTAGCAAACATCGTACAGTATATATTTAAGAAACCATGAGGATGTTTAAAAAGAACACCATTATCAATTTGTCAAAACATCAGGCAGTTATGGACCCTCAAATGCATATTTTGTAATCACATGAAATATTTTTTTCTAAAGCAACCCATGCTACCTCTACAAAAACGTACATATTTCAAACAATAAACAAAGATGAGATGATTACAGGTAAAAGCATCACTCTTTCTTTCTTGTGCACAGCATTTTTGCATAGTTATTTTGACCATCCATTTAGGTAGCACTCTCTCAGAGTAGTGTATAGTAGATATTATAGTACCTTTTACTATCTGCAGTGTTGCTAATACCTTCCCTTTCAACATGGGGACTGACTAGTGAACACACCTAGCTCTTGGCCATGTTCCCATATATGCATTCTCTGGAAGTATTCTAACGTCAGGCCCCATCCTTTGCTCACAGTGAGCACCTTGGTCTTGGGTCAGGTTGGAGATGTCAACAAGCTCTCGCCTCTGGGACATTGCCCCCACTATATGCTCCAGCTTACTGCGGATGGCCGTGTAGTGACACTGGCGCTCTTTGGCCAGTTTATAGAAGCAGGCTTTCAGCTCTTTGTCTTTGGCTTCATGGTTGAGGAGTTGCTTGGTTGGAGTTTTGCTCTGGATTTGGTTGCTGGTCTGCACATCACTGTCGGCGTACACGAAGCTGGTCTGGGTAGAAGTGTGGCACGGCTCAGTGTCATGACTCACTATTTTGGTGCTACCAGCCAGGATCTCCTCATTCTCCATGTTCTCATTTACAGTAGATACATTTGAGTCCAGACTTGCCTTTTGACTCACCTCGGCAAGTGGCTGAGTTGTAGACTGGTCTAGGGGCTTGTGCAGTGTGCGTGTTGGAGTGCTGGTAACACACACATGCTCAGCAAGTCTCCCCTTTGGCGTAAAAGGTGATGACGGCACAGCTGGTTTTAAGAAATGATGTTCAAAGACGCCACTGTTTCGAACACTTGGGGGTCTGTGGGCATTCAGAGGAGAGGACTGGGCATAGAGGATTCGAAACTCTTCATCAAATTTCTCTGATATCTGACCAGAAAGCTCGACCAGGTTGCTGCTGTTGAGTTTGCCATCAGTCCAGTTGAATCTGAACAAAATAACAAGGGGCAGTGATTGTTAAAGGCACAGTAGTGTATGGATGTGAGTTTTATTTGATATAAAACAGAAATACTCCAAAAAACAATGGTGGGACATATGACCTCTAAGATTTGTTGTTACTTATTTTTAGGAAAAAGGTGTAGTTTCTATATAGAAAACACAGGTGGAATCGTAACTTTGGGCTAATTTAGAATGAAAATTATGCTAATGCTTTGGTAACAACTGGAGTTGGAAACTTGGAAAATTAAAAAATAAAAAATCTGGTATGTTGTTTTAAATTTGGCTGTCATGCTCATTTTCTTGGTGGAATTATAAATTAGAATTGTGTGCTTTAGAAAAACAGGGAGCTGTCCAGACAGTGGCCGGGCTCAGCCATTATACCAAACTCATTATTTTTCCATGCCATATTTTCAGTGGGTTATTAAAAATAGAAGGTACTGTCTGCTTTGTTTAAACCAGATTTTCTGTGGTCTATGAGCATCTATGGTACAAAAATCTGATTTTTGCCTACTCCATAATTATAATTATATTTAGTGCAATGTATTATTCTAGTGTCAAATTGTAGAAGTTTTCCCCTGCTTAAAAAAAAAGGTTGCAAGCTAAATTGCTAAACTAACGGCACGTCAATCTTTGAGTAACACATCTGAATGAAACAGGTTAGAGGTGAGAGTGAGATCTACTCTGTGGCAGACAGAAATACACTTTGAGCTGTTAATGGAACTAGAACAATTGTTCTGACAAAATTCAGAATGTTAGAAAAACAAAGAAAAGTGATATCTCTTGAAACATTTCTACTGAAAATATACTTCAGGAAATAAAAAACAAACATTTATTTTTATGCATAAACCCCTGCATAATGGTCAAACCATGTTTAAATGATAAAATCAATGCTTTATCAGGTTTATTTCAATATTCTGCGGTGGTTTGAAGACAGAAATAGTAAACACAAGTGACAAAATGACTTTAGAAAACATATAAAGCATAGCTCATACTGCCATAGCTATTTGTATTTTATTATTTTTGCATAGTCCATTGTAGTTTTAATTATAAAATCAATGTATTGTTACACATGGGCAAATTGAAATCAAACTGATATTTTAGTCTAGTGATGTGTCTAAATGTCAGAAATTCCTAGTATAGATGTTGTAAAAGGGCATTATACCTGTATGAACCTGTAGCCACTCTGTTTCCATCAATCAGCATAAATCTCTCATGAACCCGGCCTGTAATCCGCGCTCCTGATCTCGTGTAATAAGTGGTGCCAGTGATGGTTCTCACTCTCATTTGCTGGAGGGATTAAAAATGCACAGTGAGAAATAACAGTGAGTAACAGCAGACAGCCCCACCCCAATATATCCCCCATCGTAAAGGACACATTTGAATTTGATGCCATTTGAATGTTGGTGCACACTGAGCCACACCCTGCATTAATGAAAACATACCCGAAGATCCTCCAAGTTAACGCCCAAATTTCGGCACATCTTCAGGAAGGCAGGGGCGCTGGTTTGGTCAAGGAGGAGGTACACCGGCACTTTGCGGCTACAGCAGGCTTCCTTGAGATCCTTAAAGATTTCCAGGTCCGTAAGAGAGTCTGTAACTATTGCGATCACCTGCAGTGGAAAATTACAGAGACAATACAATAGAATTCCAGTCATGGTAGCTGCAGCACACTCCCAGATGTGGCACCTGAATGTGTTTTTATTACTATCAAATGCAGGGCCCAATTCAAACAGACGTGCTGTCAGACACACTCTCCGTAATGTGTGTGCTGATGAGCTTTCGATTGACTGCGGTCTGTTACCATGGCAATAGGCAGCGACGCTTGGTCAGCAAACAAACGACTCTTATACAGAAGACAAGTAGGTGCAGAGAAGGGTTAAACCCCCTTTTTCATTTATTGCATGATTTTTTTATTTATTTTTTGTAGGAAGTAATGGACATTATGGAAATTACATGTATATACTATTATAATTCAGTGCTTGAGAATAATACTAACACTGTGGATTTTGAGAAAGATACAAAAATGTGTGCTCTTTATAGTGGCCAACTAAAAATGGGGATGTTTTGTTACAGTGTATAATGAAAGCTATGTGCTTAGGTTGGTTGCCATTTAGAAAAGAACAGACCTGTTACCTAGAGGAAATGGTATTGTAAAGAACTCAACCTAGTTTCCAAATGTAAGTGTCTTAAAATAAAATAGTCTTAAGAAAAGAAGCAGCATTTGTGGAAAATAGTAGAGCAAGTCAGAGCACATCTGGTACGCAGGCCCTCTGCAGGCCTGAGGTGCTGCTCCTGCTGCACACTCAGCTCAATACTGGAATGCTGAAGTACAAAAGAAAAAGCTCAACTGACAGCTCCACATCAAATAGAACTCATGAATATTCATGCCTTTTCTTCCAATCCTTTTAACCACTGATTTCTTTAAATCAAGATTTCCAAAAATATGAACTTCTAAAAATTGCAATGATCAAACATATTCCATGGAGACATGTGCCATGTATTTTTGGAAGGTACATGGGAGACTGAGATTTTAATTTTCCCTCTGGTGACCACATACACACTTAAATGATGGCATGGCAGTCTGTTAGAGGAAATATTTCCCTACTATTTTTATGTTTTAATAACACTACATTTTATTGTTTTGGTTGTGTTGTTAACATACAGCTTAACCCTCTGCATTTTCTTTCACTTAACCATATTTTTGATAAAATTGTTATTATTTACTTATTTAAAACAAGGGCAGCACACAGAAAACATTAATCTCAGAGAGAAAACATGCTCTGCGCCAGATTTAGCAAGCTATTTTCCATCTGCAGTCCTTGGGCAGGTACCATGGCAGGTACAGGTACAAGTACTTGACCATAGAATACTTGGTGCTCAGTGAGTATGCAATGCAAGAGTTATTTGAAGTAAAAAAGAAATGCATTTGAATGATCTACTTCTACTAACTACTTGTCCAATATGAGTACTTTTAATAATAATAATATAATATTGTTATTATAAACATATATTATAAATGCTATGATTTTGTTTAGGGATGCAAGTAGGCCTACTCTATGTCCAATCTTTTCATTCTTCAACACAACAGTGGCAGGGTCTTAAGGTGTATTAGGTGTATTATAATGTCATGCATTTTGTTCTCAATTGCAATTTTGACAAGTTTGATATGTGAGAATAGGCCTAATATGGTAGGCTAATCTCAAATATTAGATCTCCTTTTATTTAGGCTTTAAACAGTCCCATGACAAGTGTTTTCCTAAAAATGTGCCATTATTAGGCTATATTATTGGCTATGACATAGCCTACTAATGGTTTTAACTTTTTACCTCTCTGGCACTCCGGATCATGCGTCGAGCCGCTTCTTTGCAGCTGTAGATGGATTCTCCATAACTGGGTTGGAAGTGTGCCACGGCCCTCGTCACTCCCCGGTATGATCCCGCAGTGAAGGCTGGCCAGCCAAGCTCCAGTAGTGGCGGCTCAACATCAGACACTTCGGGGAAATACGTGACCGATGAGCAGTCAACAGAGCTGTTCACGGACGCCTCTAGATGCAGGTCGTCGCCGTTCAGCGATACGCATGGAGGGGCCACACACGCGCGCCTCACGCGCTCGATTTCTTCATCCGATAGAAAGTTTGGAATTTTCTCCTTTCTGAGAAAATCCAAGAAGCGATCCACACCCCCTGACAGCAGTTCTTCTAATGCTAGCCTATGTCTCTCATTGTAGACGTCCTTAAAGTCTTCAGCATTTGCTTTGGAAGCTGTAAACACAAGAGGAGAGTCATCCAGGCACTGAGACAAGGCCATGTTGCAGAACTCCTGTTCCACGCAGGTAACGTTTGACCTCCACGCAGATAATTTGTATTTGGCCCCGTCCCTTCGTTCCTCCTCGTCCTGAATAGGTATTGGCTGTAGTAGTTTTGCCAAACGTGTATGGCGTCCTACGGCTCGACGAGTGGCTGTGTCAGTCTAATGTAAAGGCAGTCTCATTGGCTCATTCGGAAGCAAACAAGTCCCGTGTACGTCCCACCGCTCTGCCCTGATCCGGTTACAGCGCACAGAGCAGACAGAGGCACAGAGGGCTCACTCCGCTGCAAGCGCTCACTCTGACCACGTCTCTGCGTTACTCAACATGTGGCCCAAACCCGGTCTGTACAGTCGAACTGTAAGTATGCTACAGTCGACAACACCCAAGATGTAATAACAGTGTTCTAACAATGTTATAAGTGAGTTAATGCATGTACAATGTATCCAAATCTAAACAATGGAAACTTCTGGACATTGCATAATGCAGAAAACCTTTAACTGACAGGTAGATGCTTTATTCCATTTCATGTTGGCTACATTAATCTGGTACTACGTCAGTTATGCACATAGATACTGTCATATAGGGAAGCTTTTCTTTATAAGCAATTGAACTCAAATAAAATAGCATATAGGCTACAAGGTATTGTTTATGTTATTCTATAATAGGCTACTTGCAATATTTGTATTTTTTGCTTGTTAAAAATCTCTATTATCATGCCCCTCTTTGTTCCACTGTTACAAATGTCTTCCACAGTAGTAGAATATATTAGTGTCCCTACTTAACAGTCAAACCCACAAAATTGTAGTCTGTGTTTGTTTTTTGTTTTTTTGGTTGTTGTTTTTTTTTCATCTTTTTAAATACACATCATTGAATGATTCGATATAGGCATATCTGTATAAAATTATAAAAAATACATTGTCTTTATTGTTGAAACACATTTATATAAATATTTAAGGTTGTTAGAATAGATGACAGTGCTCATATCAAGACTCAGTAGTCATAATGAAATGCTGCATGATAAGTGATCAAATCAGGTACATCCTGTAACACAGGTGTATATGTGCCAAAACTGGCTGGTAACAAGGAAGCCAAACCAGTGGCTGCAATGAAAGAATGTAGCTGAGACGTTTTATACACAATTAATTATGGATCGACTGGGTTCTGTATATCTGGTGTGCATTAAACATTTACTCTTATATGGATACAATTACAGAAATGGATCCATCTTAACGAGACTGATAGTTACACAGACATGTCTCTAGCCAGTATTTTAGTCACTCTGTACCCTTTTTTTAATTATATAGTACTTTTATCATCTAATGTTTCAATTTCTCATAAAACCTAATGAACAGGTAGGGGCTGTACCAAGGACAAATGCATCCCAGTGTGTCCCTGGATGGTTTGTTTAATAGGATTACAGGGCTTTAATTCTGTCGCTTTGTTCAAACTATGTGTCCTTCTGGTTTTGAAGTGTATTGACTGTTTTGGCACAGAACACTACCAGATAAAAAGAAAATAACATGTGCCCAAACCACTTTGCAACATAGCAAACCAGCAGCATGAAAGCACTTTATTTTTATCATTTTTTATTTTTCATTCCATTATTTCAGAGTCCTGCTCTAGAGGCTAAAGGTCATCACTACTGACCCAAGTGCAAAAGCACAAAAGCCTCAAATTTGAGTTTTTGCAGATTGCGTCGTTATATTCCTTAAAAAAAAAAAAAAAAAAAAAAAACTAAATCTCATTTGTTTCCACCCACAAGTTTCACTGTGCTATTGATACAATTAAATAGAAAAAAATCACGCAGGACAGTCAAGACATGCCAATTATTGGTGCAAATTATAAAAAACTGTGGTACATTGGCTTTTGAGTAAATGCACACACCCAAAATCACTGTCAAAAAAGCACAATGGAGTGAAAATACAACTTTGCCGTACCAGGATTTGTTCAGAGCGTTTAGGAACATTTTGAGGGTGCACTATAGTTTAGCCTACACTTCGCATCCCGTTCTGCGCAGACCGGAACAAAATCGGTTTCTTGGTGTCGCTTCTGAGTGACTCCTCTTCCTGATAGACGCTCTTTGTTTGTCTTGACCCTACACAGCAACAGATAAAGGCGACGTCTGAACTCCAAGAGGACAAAGTGGGAGGGTACAGTCGATGCACGTCTCCCCAACGCACAACATATTTATTAGACATCTAATGAATCGCTGAACAATGGGGTCTGTGTTGCGCATAGGCTACTGTACGCATCTTTAATAACCAAAAAAGTGTAACCAACCTGTTACCACTAAACACAAAGTACACGTGGTACTAAGCTTTGGCATTAAAAGGACTAAACTACCGATTATATTCATGTTCATCTACGTATAGCTTACTTGTCATGCGTCATCGGACACATAATATTGTCATGCTTTCTTTTCTCACATTTCTAATATCCTGGCTTCAGTGAGACTGTAGTGTATGCAAGTTGCTTAATGTCCCCATAACTATAACAGCATATTTTCTTTTAGATTACCGCCGTATTGTTTTGGCCTGTACTGCTTGCGGGGAATTGCGCCTTCCTTATCGCGCTTTTTACGCACGGGGTCAAACAAACATAGTCTAAAAGGAACAACTTTTGCCATAGCATTCACTGATTATGTATTGGACCCAATTCACATTTATCCTAGGCCTGTTTGAGTTGGTTGAATTTAGGATTAACAGTTTGTGCGTAAAAGTTATGGGTTCTGGAAAGGGCCTTGTCAAAAGAAATCTATTAAAGATCAGTGGGCTAATAGGCTTGACTATTCCCACAACAATTAATATTCATAAAAATCTATTAAGACTTGTTTCTCAGACGAGTGCAACTTTCATTTAAAACACACACTCGTGACCTAATTAAAACCATTTTGGGCTCTAAAACGGGCTGAAAAGAAAGATCACTAAACTCTTACAAACTCCCAAATTTACACAATGCACTCCATCTGTTCGAGCTGCTCCGCGGCGCCATTGTAGCTATGTATAACCCAATCTGTTCTAGTTCTATAACGACATACCCAAATGTGCACTGGGCTCCATATACGTACCCCCTCCTCCTGTTCTCCACTTCCACACATCTCATCCCCGCCCTTCACCAAATTTTAGATGAAAGGGCTTTTGGATTTTGGATGACGCTCCGAATCACGTGTTCAGAGGAAATACACTCGCTATAATTTTTGGGAGCTGCCTCGTCCTGCACCGCGGAGTGTTTAGGTGTCTGCATACAGTGTACGTGCCACAGGCTGGACGGCTAATGTAATGTAATGTACCTTACCGTGGTCACTGACGGGTTCACGCCAGTTCACCAGGTTCACTTGAGGAGAGCTCCCACCCCCTGCTCGCCTCCTCTTCTCCTCAAAGCGCTGCGATCGGACCTAATCCAATATTATTCATTTATATTTTAATGTCGGATTCCATTTTTGCCTGACGACGGTTGAGGTAAGGACACTTCTGCTCTTGGGTATTTGCAAGCGAGCTTCAAACTTATCTACTGAAATCATGTCTCGCTGTTGAATATTGAATTTTCATATGGAAGCTGTAGTCTAGGCAGTTTATATGAAGTCACCAATGTATAAAATGGCGACAGTAGGTAGAGGAGGGGGTGGAGGGTTTTTGGGGGCGATATTCATAAGGTTATACGGAGTGCCAGATTGTATTTGGGCAAGTGGGCTCCGTAGCGAAGTGTTGGTACCCTCCTCAGCCTTGTGAATGGAGTCAAACGGGTTAACTCAGTCAGTTTGTTACACTTCCAACAACGTCTGCTCCAATTCACGCTCCTGCTCGCTCTATACAATGTGGCGTATCTGCTTATTTTATTGCACAACGCGCCGTATTTCTCCCACTGTGTGCTGCTGGAGAGAGTTGTGAAAGACTTCTCATAACACTCCTACAATATCTTATCTTCGATACGCGTAGTGAGTCGAGTGTAGACATTCAAACTGCACTCCGGCGGTCTGTTTTTACCCATTGCTTGTTTGACTAATTCCCCCAACAGAATGATAGGCCTGTATCTCTCCATGCCATAGGACTCCTTTTTTCTTTCATTTCCTCATCTTCCTTCTGCCAACATGTGCCGCTGCCGACTCACACGCGCTTACACGCGCATACTGTACAGTCGAATACACTTTTAAGCAACATGCACACAAAGACTGCTGTAAAATTAAAATACAAAGTTACAGTGCCTTTCTGTTCCCAAATATTATGGCCCGGATCTGAAAGCCATGTGTCCTCCTGTGCCCTGGGGAGGGACCTCTTCTGACTACTGTGTGTGTCTGTGTGTGTGTTTGTGTGGATCATGTGTGCATGGCTGCAGGTCTGTGGCATAAAACCCTGTCAAACAGTGCAGTGCATTTGGCGCATGTATATTTCTTGGGAAATGGACTGTGTAGGGCATGTTACATATAATCTAGGTCACAGTACCTAGTGCAGAGACCTAGGTATATCCTTATATGAGTAGATGTTTGAACTAGAGATTGTCTCCAGTGTAAAGTCCAGAACAGTGGTAGTCGTGCTCTCTAATAGTTAATTTGCAGGCGTGTGTGATGAACACAAACAAAGGTAAATGAGCTCTGGCCGGGGCAGCCTGGCTCTGCTCCGGCTTGGCCCGGTGAGAGCAGAGTGTGTTCAGGCTTTTAGTCCAGCAGGGCGCTTCCACTGGGGGAATGTCAATTCCCTTTGTGGAGCCCTGGGAACGTTCCTCCATCGCCCTTCTCGGAACTGCTCTAATGAGGCCAAGCATATTGCCTTTCATCCCTCACGGCTGCACTGAGCTCAGTTCCTTCCAGAGTTTTGGTTATGGACACAGCGGGCTGTTTGTGTACACAGACAGTGTAGTGGGCTGAGGCTGCCCACTGTCCTGTGCATGGCTGTGTCCAGGTGGCACCCGCCTCCCTGAGACTCCTCTCCACATACAGTACTGTATACTACAGCACTACAGTATACAGTTAGCTTGATGCAACGTCTCTACCAGGGCATATCACGTCAAGTCATATGGTCATGATTTGTATGATATGCAGATTCAGCCAACATGGACTGTGCAACATTCCTTAACTTCAAAAAATAAAATCAACTATGAAATGTCATGCACATCTATTCACCAGTCTTTTCAAAATAAACAGACGTTCACAACTGCGCATACCTCATGATCCCCATAAAATATTGTGCCGACTGCTATTTATCTTTGCTGAAACCCTGTCCTATACAAGGTTTACTTGTATTTGGGTCTTTCAGACTGGTGCTATTGCTTTTGTCACCAGACCAATGCCGTATCGAAGCTCAGGGCGCTCAAAAGCCTCCCCACAACAGCATGTTTGCTCAGTTCCAACCAAAAGAAATGCCTTGGGGTAAAGAACCTTGGGGCTAGTGTGGAGAGCCCCTGCTACTTTCACGGTCTCATGTAAGAAAGATTTGGTCAGCAGGGGCTGGCATTTGCCAGACTTTGGCAGTTCGAGGAGTGTGTGATGTCAGCCATTTTAGGATGGTCACTACAATGTGCACTACGCCGCCATCTTTCTTTCTTTTCTTCTTAAGTTGCCAAACGAATGCCTGGAGTCTTGGGTACAGAACTGAAGAAGTTATTCATCCAAAGTTATGTAAAATGATGCGTGACTCAGATTTCTCAGTGCTCTATGGTTTATTTGTCTGTTAGTTACTAGGCCACACATGCTGAACTTTGGACAATGTCATTTTTTAACAGTACAAGCTAACAGATCACGAAACAGACATTTAACACCAATGCGGCAGATAAAGAAGGCGGTACAAACTTTGGCCAAGATAAGTGTCACCACACACTCATATTAAATTATGTAATTTATAAATTATGTGTATTTATTGTACGCCATTTCTGACGTACCTGGTATTTAATTTTGCTTTTCAGCTGGCACACATCAAATGGATATAAAATGAGCAATAATGCCTGTTGAAGATGTTTTGTTCCATGTAGCATGGGCTCTGGTCAAGTATTTATTCGCTGTGTATTCGCTTATGTCCCTGACCCTTGTACAAACTGTTTTCAAGCCCTCACTCTGTGTATGACTGGTGTTTTTTTCACCAGTCGTGATGCAGGAATGTCTCTGTTGCTATGCAATTAAGAAAGCGAAGTAGTGGTTACGGACCTCACCCAAAGTTACTGTAAAGAGACTTGAACCATGACTAGACTTTTTAAAGATGGCTGTCAGGGATTAAGTTTGCACCGGATGCAGTGCGAGGAATTCACTTTGTTTGTGTCTTGAGGTCGGTGGGTGTGGGCAGGGGACTCTGCTGTGTGGCGTGGTGGGCAAGGGGAAGAGAGGGGTTGCCATGGTGATGTTAACACATGAGTGGCACCAGCGACCGGTCTCCCAGTGGACGCGGCTGCAGTGGTGGAGGTAAGGGTGTGTGTGGAGATTAGGGAGAGGAGGAGGACAAGAGCGATGGCTGACAGCACCTGCGTCTCCGACATTAAGACATGAATATGCACACAGCACTCTGCTGTTACAATGGGGAGAGAACAGAGCAGCCATGTCTTGAACACAAAACTGGCCACGCTCAATGATTCTCGCTAAATCAGCCTTGAGCTCATGACCCTGATGAATCTTGAATGTTTTCTGCTCATCACACTTATGCATGCTTTTCAGCTGGGAAATATACACACATTTTCAACACATTTCTTTCATTTTTATTACATGTCTTATCATTATTGCTTTAGGTTAAAGATTGTTTTTTGGCATTTGTAATTTGTAGTGTCCAATGATGCTGTCAGATTTTGTTCATATTAATTTCAATTTCTTCTGTTAATGCTGTAATTTCAAAAAGTACACAATATTGGAAATTGTTTCTAATAGTCCAACGTTAATTAAAATGTGCGCAATTACATTGATATGAATATTTTTATTAGTTGTATTGTGATTTTTGGCCTATA